AAAAATTTTTTTTAAAAGGCAAAAAAAAAAAAATCGAATCTGCCAGTATGCCAGGCATTTTGCTAAAGGCCTGGGAATATATTGGTGAGCAAAATAAATTTGGTTCTTGCTAACATGGAGCACTTAGTTCCATTTTGATAAAAGCTGGAAGTTAAAATTTTTTTAAAAAGGCAAAAAAAAAAAAATCGAATCTGCCAGTATGCCAGGCATTTTGCTAAAGGCCTGGGAATATATTAGTGAGCAAAATAAATTTGGTTCTTGCTAACATGGAGCACTTAGTTCCATTTTGATAAAAGCTGGAAGTTTGGTTAAAAATTATATTCCCTTTGTCCACCAAGTTCTACCTCCAGATTCCTTCCCCTTTCCTTGGGCCTTATTTCTTTTTTCTTTTCTTTTCTTAATTTTTATTTAAATCCCTTATTGTTTAAAGTATTACACAAGTCTCCTTCCCCCCCCCATTGACCTCTCCCCAGCCCCTCTCACCTGCCCTAACATGTCCTCACCCACATTGTACCTGTGTCCATTCCTTATGCTCATATGCATGCATACAAGTCCTTTGGTTCTGTGTCCATTGGTTATGCTCATATGCAAGCATACAAGTCCTTTGGTTGATCTCTTACCCCCCGCCCTCCTCCTCCCCCACCTTCCCTCATAGGTTGGACAGTCGGACCTTATTTCTTTAAACCCTCTTCATAGTCCTGGATGGATGGGATGGCTCTCTGAGTAATGTGGGCAGCTTCAGCCATTTCCTTAAAAAAAAAAAAAAAAAGTGGTAAGAGTGTTAAAAATAACCTTCCTTCTCCTGCACCAATCTACCCCTAATTTTTTTATTCCAAGGAGTTCTTTTTTCAACAGCCAAAATTTGACATCATTTGCCAAATGCAAACCTTTTAATCTAAAGATATCACACATATTACCAGGAATTGACCTTTTCTTATCTCCAGGCAGGGTTGATCCTCCCTAAACATGTGGTTTCCACTGCCAGTCTCACCCACATTACTGCTCCTTTCGTGGTACACACAGAGGCTTCTGCAGAAGCTCCTTAAACTCTATCTGCTGTAATTTATAAAATAGTCACTGGCCCAATGAGTTTCTTTTCCTCCTGCCACCAGCATTGCTAACAGATGCAGGCTCTAGGAAAGTCATCTTGGTAAGTGAAACACTCCAGGATCTGTAAATTCTAGCAGGATTGGTTGCTGGAGAAAGCAGCTTTCTCAAGAACTGCTGGAGGCAGAGGCCTTAGTCTTTTTTTTTTTTTTTTAAACAACTTTATTCATATATGTTATAATTCACCCATTTAACATGTACAACTTATTGTATAACCATCGCCACAATCTAATTTTAGAATATTTTATCTCCCCCCCCCCAAATTACTCTATACCCATTAGTAGTCAATCTTTATTACTCCTCTAATCCTCCCTTTAGCCTCAGGCAACCACTAATATGCTTTCTCTATATATAATAATTTACCTATTCTGGACCTTTTCTATAAATGGAATCATACAATATATGGCCTTTTGTGTCTGGCCTCTTTCATTTAATATTGTCAAGGTCCATCCATGTTGTAGCATTTATCAGTACTTCATTCCTTTTTATGGCTGAATAATCTATTGTAGCCATACCACATTTTGTTTATCCTTTCTTCAGTTTACCCATTCTTCAGTTATCCATTCATGGACATTTGGATTATTTCTACTTTTTGTCTATTACAAATAATGCTGTGCACATTTGTGTACAGGTTTTTGTGTAGACATAATGTTTTTAAAAAATTGATTTGAGCAAGAGAGAGAAACATCGATTTGTTGTTTGACTTTTTTATGCATTCATTAGTTGATTTTTTTATGTGCCCTGACCAGGAATCGAGCCCACAGCCTTGGTATATCTGGACAGTGCTCTAACCAACTGACCTATCTGGCCATGGCTCTCTGTAGCCTTAATGTTTTCATTATTTTGGGTATATACCTAAGAGTAGAATTTCTGAGTCATATGGTAACTCTATTTATTAACATTTGAGGAACTGCCAAATCATTTTCCAAAGTAGCTGTACCATTTTACAGTCCCACCAGCAATGTATGAGAGTTCTCCATGTCCTACCAACACTTGTTACTGTCTTTTATATTATTGCCATCCTAGCAGGTGTGAAGTGGTATCTCATTGGGGTTCTTTATCAGCTATATGATGCCCAAATATTGTTTCCCATTCTCTGGGTTTTCTTTTCACTTCTTTGATGATACCATTTGCAGCACAAACATTTTTTAACTTGACCTACTTTTTCTTTGTCACTTGTGCTTTTGGTATCCTATCCAAGAAATCATTGCCTAACCCAGGTTTGTAAAAATTTATTCTCATGTGTACTTCTAAGAATTTTATAGTTTTTAGATCTTACATTTAGATCTGTGATCCACATTGAGTTAATTTTGTATATGGTGTGAGGTAGGGATCTAACTTTATTTTTTTGCATATAGATATCCAATATCCCAGCACCATTTCTTGAAAAAAAACTATTCTTTTCCTATTAGATTGTCTTGCCACCTTTATCAAAGGGAAGCCTTAAACTTTCCATATGGGTCTGTTTAATGATTTATTCCCTCCTCAAATTTCCTCTTCTTTCTACCCCTTAGCCCACACAATCTTCAGAAGAGATGGTAGTAAATCCTTTTGGAAATAATATCAGTGGGAAGGAAAGCCTTAAAAAAAAAAGATGCTTCTTTCATCCATAAATCTGGTGCTTCATCTTTCTTCCACTGAGAGCTAGTCAGGCTTAAGTCCCAGTCTAGGGCCATTGCCAGGTGGGGGCAGTGTGGAATCACAACCCAGATGAGCCCTGGTAGCCTCCAAACTTCCTAGAGAAGGAGAAGCTTAGTATTTCAGTCAAGGCCTGTGTCATTCAGTTGGGCTGACTTAGCCTGGTTTCAGTGTTTGTCATCTATTTGCTATCTCAGAACATATTTCTATTTCAACAGTATGAAGCTCCTAATCCCGCTCTCAAATTCCTTCCTAAAGAGGCTGGCAGGAAAAACAGTCAGTGTCAGGTTATTTTTCTTATCTCCTAAGCCTAGTGCCCTGCACCTGGCATCTCCAGTAGATCAGATTAGTACTCAGATTTTTCAAGTAACAACCCTAAAAAAACAGCAAGAAAAGTAAAGCAGAGACATATACTCAAGTGCCCTTCGTGGGTATTGAGTTAGAGATTACTAACTGGATTTAGACTGTTCCACATCTCTCAGGTTCCTAAACAGTCCCTCAGTTTGTCTGGTGGGAGACCTTAATCACCTGCTGAGATTTGAAGCTCTGGAATGAGAATGTCAGAGGGCAGGTTGGAGGTTGATTTTATCTTCATTCCAAATATAAATTCCCAGAGTGGCAAATTTGTCATATCCTCCGCCAAACAATATGAGCATTCATGCCCTGCAGCATAAAGCATAGGACTCTGACCCATTTCTGTCTTATTTAATTTTTTCATTCATTGAATATTTACTGAGCACCAGCTGTGTGCCAGGCATTGTGCTAGGTGTTTGATGTTGCTTTATTATATAAATGTTGTAAGAATCCTCTAAGATTTAGTCACTCTTTCAACAAACATTTATTGTACGCCTACAATGTACTATTCCTAGGTACTGTGCTAAGTGCTAAGATAGGTATTATTATTCCCACATTTTTCCTTATAATGAGAGATATAGCTTCCCTAAAATCATTCAGAATCATAAGTGGTCAAAGAAGGATTCCAGACCATGTTTTTGTAAGATCTCTGGTTTATATTTTTTTTACCTGTATTAGATTCAATGGTTCTGTAATTCTTTATAATCAATAAGTTATATGAAAAGAAAACATTGATTTCTATTACGCTGTCATACACACAAATATTTGTTTGTTTTGTTTTGTTCTCATCCGAGGATATTTTTTCCATTGACTTTCTTTTTTAAAAAATATATTTTTACTGATTTCAGAGAGGAAGGGAGAGGGAGAGAGAGAAAGAAATATCAATGATGAGAATCATTGATCGACTGCCTCCTGGACGCCCCCTACTGGGAATCAAGCCCACAACCTGGGCATGTGCCCTTAACCGGAATCGAACCCGGGACTCTTTGGTCTATCCGCTGAGCCAAACCGGCTAGGGCTCCATTGATTTTCTTTAGAGAGAATGGAAGGGAGGGTGGGGGAGAGAAAGAGAGAGAAAAAAACCACGGCTGTGAGAAAGACACATCGATTGGTTGCTTCCAGCATGTATCCCAACTAGGTGAGGATTGAACCTGTAACCCAGGTATGTGTCCTTGACCAGGAACTGAACCCGTGACCCTTCAGTGCACGTGCCTGCGCTCTAACCACTGAGCAACTCTGGCCAGGGCCACATACACATTTTAATAAACTCTATTTTGGAATAATTTTAAGAATTATAGAAGAAATGCCCCTCAACGTAGTTTCCCCATCTTACATTACCATGGTATATTTACTAGTAACACTAAGAAACTGGCATTGATACATTACTATTAATTAAACTTCATATTTTATTTGGATTTCACAGTTTATTCATTAATGTCCTCCTCCTGCTCCAGGAGACATTTTAGGGTATTACATTGCACTTATTTGTAATGTCTCCCAAATGTCCTCTGGTCTTTGACAATTTCTCTGTTCTTTATGACCTTGACAGTCTGTTCCAGTCTGTTTGTCTCATGTTTTTCTCGTGATTAGACTGAGGGTCTGAGTTCTAAAAAGTACACAAAAGAAGTGAAGTTCCCTTCTCATTAGATCATACCAGGGATTACTTGACAACTACATGATATTACTGGTGATGTTCACCTTCATCTCTTGGTTAAGGTGGTGGTCTCCAGAATATTTTACTGTAAAGTTACTATTTTTCCCTTTTGCTACTCTATTCTTTGGAAATAAATCACTAAGTCTAGCCTACCCTCAGTGGGAATGGGAGCTAAACTCCACCTCCTAAAGAGGAGAGTATCTACACATATTATTCTAAATTGTTCTGTTAGAAAGATTTGTCTCTTCTCCCAACTTATTTAATCATTTTTATATGAATATGGACTCATACTAAACTCTTATCTAAAACCTGTGATTTTTCTGCTATACCAGACAAGAAATAAGGACCTATACCAAGGCATTGGTTTCAGAGAAATTTATTTATTTCAGATTTCAGAGATTTTTAAGAGGTAGATTTGATAAGACTTGGTGACCTTGAATGTGAGGAAGTAAAGGAGAGGGAGTATTTGAAAGTGACACTCAGATTTTGGTTCCAATAGCTGGAAATAAAATTTTGATTTGAAATATTAACTAACAAGTATGAAGATTGATTCTAGGCTTTGATAAAGCTCAGCTTCTTCAAAGGCTGCGTTTAGCATACATGTAGGTCCAGAATGCCCTGTTCTCCCCTTGGAGCTCTTCAGAGCAGAGCCAAGTACTTTTCATCCTGACTGAAACACCAGGGCCCCCTAGTGGACAGCCCACTGGGTCCTGTTTCTTGTCTGAAGGATGCTTGGTTTTGTTTTTTGTTTGGTTGTGAGGTTTTCTCTAGTTCATTTGCAAAGCAGAGATGCTTAATTCTATTGTCTCTAATAAATTATTAAACCCTTCCCCCTTCAGAGTTATCAGTTCACCCTCATATGATCTCATGTTCAGTAAGGAGACAATTACCCTCTGACAATCATTCCCATGCTTTTGCACTCTAAACCAGAGAGTACGCAATACTTGTTTTTAACTCATTTCTTCTTCTTTCCATCTGGTGCTATATTAATGTTAA